GCACGAAATGATTGGTTCTGGCCTCTACTATGGTGTGGCAATAAAAGTGTTTACACTGGAAAAACAAAGGTGCGACATCACACCTTTTAAAGGTGCTATACCGCAAATGCCTTTAAAGCCGCTAAAATTGCCGAAAATAGCCACCTTTAGGGGGCAGAGGCGCCTTTGGAAAGCCACTAAAAATGCATTGGATAGCACCTTTGTTTTTTCAGTGTAGCCCCGGCCACGCACTGTGGGATCAAAATGATTTAGTGCGCCCAAAACCATTTGGATCTTTGAGCAGGGCCTATGCACATGTATGCACGTTAAAATGCGCAAAATCTGCCATATGGCCTGCCCTATGGGTCTTCCGGTCTGCCTGCATCCTGCGTGTGGGGTTGTAGACAACCGTATTGTTCAGAGGTCCTGAATACAGCGCTCTTTCGGAGTCGCCTACGTACAAGTTAGGCATGCGCCGAAATATGAGCACGAGACGAATATACGAATATGAAAGTGTAACTAACTCTCTGATAAGACTGCCAGACACTTGGCGACCGGCGGGGCGGCGACCCACGGGCTATTGGCATCTTTATGAGAGGAGGGCTTATTCATACAGGGTGCAATGAGGTCTTACCCCTTATCGAAGCAATCAGTGAAAATTTATGGCATCGAGGAGGAGCAGCAGGTTGAGCGGCGTGACTCGGTTTAACACGTAAAAAGGATTTTATTTCGCTAAAGGGGCATCTTTGAAAGTAAGTCCACCATGTTCGGCTTGGCGCTAGACCCTAAACGCAACTCGACAATGTCAGAGCCTGCTTTTGTAAATAGAAAAAAAGCTTTTTTAGAAAGGTTCAATATCTAAATTGTACAAAATCGGGGAACAAGAGATGTGTATAGGGAATCTCTGCACGGAGTTGTAGCCCACGGCGTATTAGTGCGAAGAGCGGGGAATTTTGGGTGCACCAAATGGTGTGAATATCAACTTTGTAAAAATAAACAGAAAAAAAAACAGGTGCAGCACCACGAGAATTCCAACTTTTATTATTATGACGCGGCGTTTATTTCGATCCCCTTTTTGACCAGCACGTACCTATCACGATCACGTCACCATGTTACCAGCCGGCATCTAGGGCTAGTGAAAATCCTATCGTGCGACAGATTAAAGGATTGCACCGTCGCGAGATAATCTCCCACCACGCCTACATTGTAAGGGGTGTGGCTGGGCGTAGCGTGGCGGTCAGATTAGACACACAGGTTGGAATCTGCAGACACTTGATTCGTGGAGCGGCAGCGGCGTGGCAGTAGAGAGAGAAAGAGAGAGAGAGGGACAGAGAGAGAGAGAGAGAGAGAGAGAACAGCAGGGGAACCAAAAGGACTACTTACTTTGCTCTGCGATCTTTGCCTACTCGCTGATAAGCGCTCTTTTTGTCTGGCAGAGGGTAAGGCGGGGGCGCGCCTTACACGTGTGGGGAAAGGTGTCCCGCGTGGGTGGCAACAGGAGCGATGGTAGGACAGACAGGGCGATTATTACGCGAAAGAGACACCAGCCACCGACGGCCGCTCAACGGTCACGGGTGGAAAAAAAAAACATACAGAAAACGGCACACCCAGAAGAAAGTTTTCTTATTTCAAGTACATTTTGACCTTAGATCACTATTAGTCTTGAGGCAAGATTACATTACCTGTCAATTAAAGTTTCTTACTACAGTGGAAAAATCGTCTTGAGTGAAGGCATAAATTAACCTTGGATTACTTTTAGAACAAAATATACTTGGTGATTTATCTGTGTTGACAATACGAAAAACCAGGGGGGTTCTACGTAGTGTTTTGGATTTTCTGTTTAGTACACCCCCTGACGCTTGGCGACGCGGCGGGGTCGGGGAGTTAGGGCCTTCAGGAGAGGCACCCCGAAACAGGCGGAACACCACACAGACACACTACACAGGAAACCTCCCTGGTTACCCGTGCCGTGATCACTACGTAACATCACGGAGGTTTCCCGCATTGTGTCCGTACTTTAGCACGGAATGTTTTACAGTAGTGTAACCGTAACCACCGAGGTGTACCCGAGGGGTGGACGACTGGGCGGCTCCTGTGTACAGGCCAAAATGTACTCCAGGTGTTCTCCGATTGTACTCCGACTGTACTCCGTGTACTCCGGCTGTTTTTGTCGCAAGTTCTCCGCTTACTCCGACTGTACTCCGGGTGTACTCCGGGTGTACTCTGCGCGCTCCCCCGGCAATACTCAGTGTTCTCCGACTGTACTCCGTGTACTCCGTACTCCTGTGTACACGAAAAATTCAAGTCGCCCACCCCTCGGGTGTACCTAGCCGCTTTGTTTCTGCTGCCCTTTGGGCCAGAGAGCAGGTCAGACCGAGGAATACATGCCTAACACTACGGCTAGTCACTCGAGGGGGAGCGCGGGGGTTCTCACGCCCTTAGCTCTACTCTTGGCGAGAATTCACATTGGCGCCGGCCGCACTTAGCACGCATCACGCCGCCGCGCCCGACTGTACTCCTGGGACGGGCAAGAAGGCTTCATCTCATTGAACCCCATCGATCTGCTCTGCCTCTGTCTGACTGCCGCGAGGGCCGCGAGCAGCGTGCTTCACTCTCTCTGTCTCTCTGTTTCTCCCGCGCGCCCGCAGCCGAGACTCCTCTTCCAGACTGTTCGTTTCGCTAATGGGCGCAGGGGCGACGTCTTGATTCGCCGGCCCGTCTGAGTGGGCTGCTGCTGGCTGCTGACGTCGCACGCCAAACTGCGCCGTGCCTTTGTTGCACTCGGGCTGAACCCGTATGTGCGACAGAGCAGCGCAAGGCGAGGAGAGGCTTCAC